AGGAAAGGGGGCGGGGTCGTGCGTAACGCGTGACGTTCTGGAATCCTCCGTGCTGACGTGAGGCACGTACGGAGCGTTTTCCTCCGCCTCCTCCTCTTCCCCGAGGCGCGCGGGTTATTTTGGAACGCCGTCCGGCCCCCGTTGCTAAGGGGAGGGGCCGGCGGGAGCGCCGAGCGGATTGGCCGGCCGGCGAGCGCGGCCCCGCCCCCGCCCCGCCCCCCGGCGCGGCCTCCCTGCGGGCCTCGGAGCCGCCTGGAGACGCGCCGCCGCCGCGAGGGCCGCTCCTGCCCGGCCCCTGGGGGCGCCCCGCGCTCCGGCCCCGAGGCGGCCCAGGCGCCCGGCAGGGCCTTCCTGCCCGGCGGGGTCTCCGCCGCCCCTCGCAGCTGCGCGGCTGCGAAAAGGGCTCGAGCACGTGCGGGGAGCAGAGCGCTCCCCGGGGCTCCGGCCCTGAGGGCCCGGGCTGCCTTCCTTCGTATTGTGCTGTAGCGTCTTTTTCTTGGTCGTGTAAGCCGCCCTGAGGCGCTGCGATGGGACGGCGTACAAATACTGTAAATGAATAAACAAGCAAGCAAGCAAGCAAAGGCCCTGGGCCCACGCACGCCACGTTCCAGCTTCCTCCTCCTCCTCCTCCTCACAAGCCAGGGGAGGGAGGGGGATGTGAAAGGGGGCGTCCCTGAGCGCCCAGTCCTTTGGGAGGGGAAGGCTGGCCTGGCCCCCCAAGGAAGCTCCAGGGGAACCCAGGAAAGCGATCTAAGAGACTCGTCTGCACATTGCAGGATGCCCCAGCCAGCCATGGGAGGCCCCCCCCCCAGAGTTCCAGGGGGGCAGAAGGACATGGGAGAAGGGGGCAGGAGGGGCTCTTGTGTGCATGGCGCAGCCAGGGGAGCCGCCGGGGTTGGCAGGGTGCTCTTCGGCACGATCGGGTGCCTTGCCTCACCGCAGGGTCCACCTGTGGGCCTGCAAGAGGCCTGCAGGGCTTCCAAAGAGCTCCCTTTCCTTGCCCTTGGGGTGGGGGGTGGGGGGAGGAGGCTGGCAAATCATGAGCTTAGGCACCCTTTTTTCTCAAATGTTTCCTTCCTCCAACTGCCCATAAGAAATAAACCCGGCTTTAGCACTGGCCTGCCAAAATCTCCCTGCCCAGGAGCTCTTTCTGAGTCCTGCAAAGGACACTGGTGGCTTTTCCCTCTGCGGACATGAGGTGCTGGAAGCCGGAGCCTGAGGGGAACACCTGCCCCCCCCCCAAAAGCAGCCAAGGTTCCAAGCCGGGGCTTTTGCCAGTGTCTGCAGAAGACGAGGAGTAGGAAGTCCTGCGTGTCGACGACAACCAGGTGGAGCACCCTCACAACATCCGTCCACCTCGAACTCCAGCCATTCCGCATCTAGAATTCAGATGAGGCAGGTGCATCAGCACCGCTCCTGCCGTCTGGGACGCGGGAACTGATCGGTCACCGAGTGCTCGGTTTTCCATTGCTTCCTCAGACAAAAGGAGAGAAGGCTTTTGTATTCACCCGTGACTTTACCGCTATGAGTAGTCAGTGGCCTAAATAACTATTAGTAGTATAGATGGCAGTGCTGTCCTGCCTTTTTCCTCCTGCAAGGAACGCCCAGGCAGTGGAGCATCCCTCTTGCATCCATCCGGGGCAGGTTAGGCTGAGCGTGATGGGACGGTCCCAAGTCACGCCGTGAGCGTCATGGCTGTGGAGACTGGAACGGGGGCAACCCAGGTCCCTGGCATCTCTCGCCACTGGCCTCTTGGGCAGACCCCCTCAGGTTGAGGGATCCTGGAGATTCCCGTGGAATCTTCTCTAACAGGAAAGTGAGGCAGAAGGATGATAAACGAAGCAATTGGGAACTGCTTTTTGTGGGTGTTTTGCTTTGCTTTGCCTTGCCTTTAATAAAGAGCTCTTCCTCGAGTGGGGCAGGTTCTCTGTGTCTGAGGTTCCAAGAGCCCTTTTGCACGATCTTTTGATCCCTGCATGCTGGATAGGGATGGCTCTCTCTCAGAGGGTGAAGAGGCTGGAAAAGCGTCTGGGCCCCAGGCCATGGCGCTGCCTCGGGTGCAGGCAGGACCCCTTGCGCACAAGGCCCCCTGCCCATCACCTCTGGTGGCTCGGGGTGCATCGCCCAGCTTTGCCCACCTGGCACCTGTCGGATGTGTTGAACCATGGCTCCTGCTGGCTGGGGCGGATGGGAGCTGCAGTCCAGCACATCTGAAAGGCAGCAGGTGGGAACTCCTTCCCGGCGTCTTCCTACCTTCCGGTCTCTGAGCGTGTGCTGTGTTTGGGTGTGTGCAGGAGTGCAGTGGCCTCGGGGAGATGCCCGGATCCTTCGTGCCAACAGTGACTGCAATATCAACTAGCCAAGACCTCCAGTGGCTGGTGCAGCCGACCCTCATCTCGTCCATGGCTCAGTCACAGCCGCCATCGGGCCAGCAAATGCCGCCGCAGCCGCCGCAGCCGCCACAGCCGCAGCCACAGCCGCAGCCACAGCCGCAGCCTCCCCCCACCATGGACCCCTACGACTTGCCCGGCACCAGCTACTCCACCCCGGGGCTGGGTGCCTACGCCGCCGGGCCCTCGGCTGCCCCCGTGGCTGCCCCCCCGCCACACTCCGCAAGAGCCCGGCCCCGACGGACGCGGGAGGAAACGGTGAGCGGGGAGGACTCTGGGGCCTTGCTTCTGCTGTGGAACGTCCTCTGGGGCTCCAGCAACGAGGTTACTAATTCAAATCGCTTTGCGTCCTAAACGCGGCCCTGCCAGGTAGCTCAGGGGGCTAGAACTGGGGCTAGTAAATGAGGCCAAGGCTGGGGCTGGGTCCCCCACCTGTTGCCTGAAAACCAGTGTGGAATGGTACCGAAGGCGCTCGACTGGGACTCGGGCGATCCGGGTTCTAGTCCCCAGTCGGCCACGGCGCTCACGACTCTGGGCTAGTCAGGCTCCCAGCCCAGCCTTTTATTTATTTATTTATTTATTTGATTGATTGATATCCTGCCCTTTTCCTACAAAGGGCTCAAGGCAGCTTACATCATTCTCCTCCTCCATCTTATCCTCACAACAACAACCCTGTGAGGTAGGTTGGGCTGAGAGTCTGTGCCTGGCCCAGAGTCACCCAGTTGGCTCCATGGCCGAGCGGGGACTCGAACCCGGATCCCCTGAGTCCCAGTCCCAGGCTCTTAGCCACTACGCCACCCTGGCTCTCACAGGGCTGTTGTCGGGATAATAGCGAGGGGAGGGGAACGGAGAAAGCTGCCATGTGTTCCTTGTCGGGAAAAAGGCAGGATAGCCATGTAATACATAAAGCAGCAGCTGGGGGTCTCCCAGAATGCAGGGACTGAAAAGAGATCCATGCAGTCCCTTAACAGCTGCCTTTGGAAGTTGGATGGGACTGTCATGGGCTGATGGCACTTTGCAGGTCTTCCTGCTGCCAACCTGGGTGTGGGGTGCAAGGAAAGCAAGCGTGGAGAATGACAAATTGCAAGGAGGACCTGCGCTCGGAATTTCCTCTGGAAGCAAGCTGCTTCGGACAATCCTCAGCCAGCCTGAGGTGCTGGAAGCGCCAATATTCCATGTAGCATGTTCTGTGTAGTCTCATCCTGCTCCTCCCTAAAGTTGGGGCAGATGGATCTATTCCTTGGGCTTAACGCTGCGTTTGGGAAGGTTGTGCGAGTGGAAATTCCTGGCACAGGGGAGCTTGGGTTTTAGTAAGATCGTGCAAAGTGCCGCCCATTAATTCCCCTTGCCAGAAGGAAAAGGGTCGTGGCGTCAGCAGGAGAGCGGTGCTGGGTTCCCCTGGGGGGGGGGGCCTGTGCTCCCCTTGGGTGCACCAGCCTTTCCATCACTCCTGCTGCAAAGGTTCCAGATGGAACAGCCTGACGGTAGAGCTTGGATTGTCCCAGAGTTACCCAGCGGCAGCAAAGTCCCCAGCCGGGTAGTGCGGCTAGGAAGGCCTCCTCTGCAGCCTTCATCCGCGGACTGACCCACCTTTCTTGCCTTCCAGCTGACACCCGAGGAAGAGGAGAAGCGCCGGGTGCGCAGGGAGAGGAACAAGCTAGCGGCAGCCAAATGCCGGAACCGCCGCCGGGAGCTGACGGACCGACTCCAGGCCGTGAGTGCGCCTCGTGTGACCCCAGCCCCCTGCCTGCGCTCGGCTGTGTGCTCCTAGGGCCGCCTCTCGGCCCCGAGAAGCTCCGGGGTGTCTCCGTGCCCGGGGCAGCTGGCCAGCCCTGCCATCCGGTGGGGGGCGTGGCCTGCCTTGGGCCTTTAAAGGGCTGCACAGGCTCGATGCTAGTCCCTTAGCAAGGGTGGCCAGGCAGCCCTCCCGGCGGCTCCCTGCCCCCCCCCCCCGTACCCCTCTCAGTTCCCCGCCAGGGGCAGCCCGTGTCTTCCCAGCAGACGTCTGGGTGAAGGGCCTCCCATGTGAGGTGCCTGGCACTGCCCGCTGGGTGTGCGCATGTTTTCTGGTTTTCCACGGGGTTCCCCACAGGCCTCCCCACTTTCTTCCGTGGCAGCCTCCTTTCCGGAGCGTGTCTCCCGCAGCCTGAGGGCTTGCTCCAGCCGTCTGCTTTGCCGCCTTCCCTGCCAGGCAGCTTCTGCCCTCACCTGTTGAGCGGGGGGCTGGGGGGAATGCTGCCGGATCACGTGGCCCTTCCTGCCCCTGCCCGTTAGATGGAAGAGAATGAGGCAGCTGGCTCAGGTGGGACGGGGGAGCTTAGGAACCGCAGGCTCTAAACTGGGTAGGGAGTGGGCAGGTATCCCCGCTCGTTCGCAGTCACACGCTGGGAAACGAGCTTCTCCCCGGCGCCGGCGGGGTAGGGGAGAGAAAAGGAACGGGGATGCCAGACGGATGCCCACCGTGGCTTGCTCAGGGAGGGGGAGCAGCCCGAGCCGGGCCGGAGGGCTCTGCCCCAGCCAGCGCTTCTCCTGGGCGGAGGATGGGGGAGATTCGGTGCCTGGCTCCCCTCCGCTGAGCCCCGGCCCCTGCCTCGCTGGCCCCCGCCTCGCACTGACTCCACTGCTCCACCTCCTCCCCAGGAGACAGACCAGCTGGAGGAAGAGAAAGCCGAGCTGGAGTCGGAGATAGCGGAACTGCGGAAGGAACGCGAGCGCCTGGAGTTCGTCCTCGTGGCTCACAAGCCCAGCTGCAAGATCCCTTTTGAGGACGTGCCAGAGCTGAGCGGGCAGCCCGGCCCCTCGGCCGAGGTGGGCGCTCTGGCCATGCCCATGAAAGAGGACCCCTTTGGGCCGGCGGCCTACGCAGCGGTGCCCCTGCCCTACCAGCAGGGCCTCGGCGGCGTCCAAGGGGCGGGCCCAGCGGAGGTAGCGTTTTCTAGTCCTTTCTTTACGCGTGGTGAGCAGCTCAGCCAGCCGCACCTGCTTAACCCTTCCTATACGTCTTCGTTTGTGTTCACCTACCCAGAGGGAGCCACCTGCGGAGCCACACACCAGCGGAACAGCAGCAGCGACCACTCCTCGGACTCCCTGAACTCCCCCTCGCTCCTTGCTTTGTGACACTCAAACCCCTAACTCAGATTTTGTGTCTAACCGACAAACCCACCCACGTGCGCCAAACCTCCGTGGGGGGCGAGAGACGGAGATGCGCACGCTTCCGCCCAGCCGTCTGGGAGCATCTGCCTATAGCCTGCCAAAAGTCCCCCCCAAACGCTGCCGTGCTCGCCTTGCCGCCGCCGCATCTCTAGCCATGCAACGTGGTGTTGCTGTTGTTGTTGTTGCCGTCAGACTTTCGGGGCGCGGCCCCGGGTGGAGAGCCCTTGCCGAGGGCCGACCGCGTTAACGCTTCCACATTTTGGGCTTTGCCATTTTCAAATCGGGAGGAACCAGGACGCTTCTGGGGTGCAAGCCAGACCCGCCACCTTGCTTTCTCGAAACGGGATCCTCGCGTGAACGGAAACCCGGGTTGAGAGGGCCCGTAATGTTTCCTTACTTCCTGCCAGCATTGTTGTAAGAAGCCGAGCAAAGGGGTGGACCAGCCCGCAGGGGAGGAGGAGGAGAGGGTCCCGCCTGTGTCCCCCGCAGAGCCATGCCCAGCTTCCTCTGCTTTGACTTGACCTGCGAATGCTGTGCCCGTTGCGTGCTCCAAGGAGGCGCTTCGGTGCTTCTCCGGTTCTCCGTTGGTCAACTTGGCATAAACTGAATGTAGTCGCTGCGCCTGCAACTGGCCAGTTGTCTCTGTTACGGAGTGTGGAAAGTGCCACCAGGCCCCAGAAATGAGCAGCTCGATCGTCTTGGTCTCGGCCACAGCTCGTCTAGCCTACTTTGGCCAATGCCCGAGCAAAGCTCGTGGCGCCCGGAAGCAAATTTAGAATCCTGTGCACAAGCTGCTTAACCTGCTGTGTTCTGTGGGAAGCCTGCAGTGTGTGTGTTTACTCGGAAGTACCACTGGGTGCACGGGGGTTTGATTGGCACTAAAGAGAGGGAAAATCCGGGTTCACTGTCCTGCTAAGAGAATCCCCCAGTAGGTCACTGGATTCCAGAGTCACATTTTTAGGGCCTGCTCTGGGCTGTGACTGAAGGGCTGACCTGCTCCCGGCTGCCCTGCCCTCTCCCTCAGCTGGCCAGCCAGTCAGTTCCTGCTGGTCCAGCAGCCACCTTCTCAGCTCTGCAGGTCCCCCTGAATGAACCCTCCCCCCCAGCTCGCCCCCCCTTGCTCGGCTTCACCTGTGGGTGAGGAGGCAGCTTTGCAATGCTCGCCTGGCCGCATGCGGGTGGGGCTTGGTGACAATACTGTGAATGGACCTCTTTCCTCCGCAGATGCTTTTTTGGATATCGTGAGACTGTTTCTTTCAGCCCTTTGCCAGTCCGAACTTAGATGGAGTCCGCCTCCCCTCTCTCCCTCCTGGCTGATGTGATTTGAGGCCGCTTCCTGTCCTCCCTTTCTTCCTTGGCCTTGAACCATCCTTTGTGGTCGTCTGGCTAATATAGCCGTCTGGGAGCTTCTCAAACTTGGCAGGGTTTTCCCACTGCTCTCGCGGGCTGGCGACTAGCGGGGCGACCGCCCTGCGCCCCCACCCAGCCCGACTCAGCCGCACTCTTCTCTTCACCATGCCACTTCCATCCCCGAAGCTTTTGGCTCGTTCTTGCTTCTCTCCTTTAGCCCTTTGCTTTCCAGCCACACCTTGGGGCCCCCTCCCCACAATCCCCACACGCTAAGTATTTGCTCTTTGAGAAGTGTTGAGGGCTGACACCGCCCCACCTGGGGGGCCGGCGTGGCTCAGCGTACAGCTCCTTCCCTGTCCGTTCCGCAGACCCACCGTCGCGCCCGGAGGGCCCCGCTGCCCCGTGCTGGGGTTCCCAGCTGCAGCTGCCGTGTGCCTCGTGTGCGTGGTTGTGCAAAGTGCCGCTCGCTTCCAACACACCCTGCCTCTTACTGGCCCAGCCGCCCAAGTGTGTTTATGGATGGGGAAGCTGCCCATGTTGCTTACTTGGCTCTCGGAAGCACGCCATGATGCTATACGGAATGTTTCCAGAAATGTTATCTTGACCAAGCTTTTGATGTTGTTTTTTTAATATTATTTTTAATCGATGGATTTTACTTTAACCAGCTTTTTTTTTAAAAGAACCAACCAAATGTTTATTATGCAGTTGCTGGGGATGGGGGAATATTTTTATTTTTTTAATTATTATTATTAATTTACCCCTTTGTGCTGTAATATTTTTTGTGATGTGTTTTGTTAAGCAATGGGGGGGGCCAGCCAAGGGAGGGGATGCTGAGACTTTTGACCCTGCCAGGCCCTCCCTGTTCTGCACTTAACTGGTTAGCGAAATAGCAAATAAAGTCAGCTTTGAAAAATGCACTTTTTTATGATGAATATAAGATCTATTTTTTCAAACTCATGTAAAAAAACTATTAAGGTGCAATAAAAGATCTCGAGCCGTGGTTCTGCCTGGCTTTCTCTGCACCAAGATCGGACTTCCTCTTGCCTTAAACCCCTCCGGAGCGGGGAGCGGGGGGGGGGCGGGCTCGATTGCGGGGGGGGGCTCCCGTTGACTGGGGCGGCCGTGGGACGAGGCGGCCTAGTCCTGGCCCCGGAGCGCCCCCTGCTGCCCGCACCGAGAACGCGCGGGGACCGGTGGAGGACGGGCCGCGGGGTGGCGGGAGCCCGTCTGCAGCAGCGCCGATGAACGGGGGGGGGCGCCTTCGCAGCCGGCTAGGAGAGGGGGCAAGGGGGCCCTGCCCCGCGAAGACCCCGGGGGGCTCCGGCAGCCACGGCCGCTCCTCTGCCCACGCTCCTTTCCCAGCAGGCGCACGGAAAGCCCGCGCAGGCCAAGGCGTCGGGGGGG